GGAACAATAGCTGCATCAGTTCTAGCAGGATTACTTGGTTTGCTCTTGTGCTTGCTTTTGTGTCTTTTGTTGCTCTGCTGTTTATGCATGAGTAGGAGGAGAAGAAAGAGAGAGAAGTAAATTTATTAGAAATTTTGTGTCCTTTTTTGATGCTTTTAGTAGTGACTCAAATGAATATGAAAGTACTAACAACAAGATGTACATTAATGAATATGATCCAGATAATGAGATGAAAGAACTGTAAGTATAACTCAACTCTCATTGTAGATTCATTTGTCTTTTATTTTAAGATCTTTTGCTGATATAAAAAGCTCGCCTCAAAATGGAGATGAGAAGAAAGCAAGGTAGATATAATACTTAAATACACCTATATACTTGTTTATTTTATATTTTTAGTGGTGATAATAAAAACATTTATGATGTCCCAATTACCTTCAGTAAAAAAGCAACAACATTGTCTGTGTAAGCCTATTGCTTTATAAATGATGTACAATGCTGATTATAATATTAATAGGAACACATCTCGACCTGCTGACTACGAATATGATACTGTAACTAGCCCTGAAGAGGTGAAATAAAACATTTATATTGCAGAAAGGCATTGTTTGTTCCCATGTATGTCTTTATTTTATAGGCATCGATAAACTTTGAAGGAAATGATGGCTCATCAATGATGGAAGTGAAGTTGTACTTTACTGATGATTCCAGTGATGAGGAAGAGATTAAGAAGAAATGAAAACAATAACAATACCTTTATTTTTTGTTGTGTATTTTTACTTGCATACATATTAGACCTACTAAGGTGGACCTCGTTATAAAGAATGGTTGTTCATGTTATAAAAAAATAGTTCATGTAGAGATTTCTTAGAAATATTCATCAATTGATCCTATAGCTCTAGCTCATCTAGAGCTTTTTGTGTGACAAAAAGGTGTATCAAATCCTTAAGGATATAACCAGAGCATTGCTGCACTCTTTCTTAATTATATTGTTAAAATGAAATGAACCAAATGATGTATAAAACAGCCTGTAATTGTTGTAGACCCACACATACCCAACTAGCTCAATGCTCTGAAATAAAACCAAGTTAAGCATGAGCATGAACATTCCAGCTGAGAGAGAGCCTATGGAGTCATTTAAACGTAATCTAGGGAGTCCTTGTACCCAGCGAATTATCATCTCCAGTAATATCAAGATGAAGAAGTATGGAGTTACCTACACAAATATACTATGCATTACTGGTATGATAATGTGTGTACATCTTGAAGCATTGGGCATATTAATATTCATAGTTGATAATTTATGATCAATCATTAGTTTTAGCCACACTTTTTCCCACTAGAGTGTATGTATATTATTATGTGTACATACTTTATTCATTTTAGCACATTTTGGGACTGTATTATTAGGTTATGATAATGGAGGTGTAATGTCATTATTTTAGGTGAAGGTGCTAAAAAATCAGTCAAAGAGACTCTGTACTCACATCTGTTATGTAATCAGGGACCCTGTCTAGTGTCGGAAACCAGATAAAATAGCCAATGGCGGGA